ATCTCTGCCCAGCAGAGAGCAAGCAGCCTTTTGTCATGTCCCTAAAGACAGACAAGAGGCTATTGGGTAGAAAAGCCAAAGCTATGCATTTTGCAAGTCTCAGCTTTTCAGAACACCCAACCATCTGCCCTTAAATCCTGTTCATCTGTAAGGAAGGGGTGCTGCTAAACAAATATGAAAGTTTCTCCTTTCTGAAGTTCACCACAGAATTATCAGGCTTGTTGCAACCTGTTTGTCAATCGGGCAAAGCAGATGCTTCTCATGTGGTCTCTCAGGCAAAGAACCGGGTGGGCAGATGCACTAAAGGGGAAGATGTGTCCTGGAATACACTCTGCCTATTAGAGCATCTTCATGGTGGTGGAAGTGTCAAAGCTGCAGGCACTTGGCTTCTCACCAGGGCTCAAAACAATAACTCTTAAGGAAGCCATAGCCCCCAGGACTTCAGAGGTGTCTGACTGCTAGGTCTGATATCACCTGAAATTTCGTAGTATTAATGAGAACTCAGTGCAGATTTTCCTGATCCAAATACAAGTCCCTAGTGTGCAAGTGTAAGAAGAAAGAGCCCAAGCATCTGCAGGAGAGCAGATACAAGCCTGGCAGTTTCAGCTCCCAGCAGCAGAGGCTGTACACACAGCTGCAAAGTGTTGTGAAGCCCTGAGCTTGTTAGTTCTTAGGAGAAGGGAATTAGCAGAACAACTGCTCCGCAGGAAGATGAAGTAGTCCTGGCTCACGGCAGGCAGCGTTTCTGCTCCGGTCCAGCCAGAGGCTATGGATTCACAATGGGCTGCAGCCTACTTGACTACTTCCTTATGTCGGCACTCCAGGGTGGTCTCATTTCCAATGATGGGTGCTCTTAGATCACCAAGCTGGCCGTGATCACTAGCAATGACACTTGACAGGCAAGAGGAATCATAGCTGGGAAGAAACATTCTTGGTAACTTCCTGTGGTGTCTGCATGTTGTTATATTGATTTAATTATAGCTGCAAACCTCAAATTACACAATGGCAAAGTGCGTTTTCCAAATCTCTTCTTGTAATTTCTAGGAAATGGGCACCCCCTACCTCAGCTCCAACACCAGTCATCAGCAGGTTGGGTCAGCAGCTGGGAGCAGGCACTCTGGGACCCAGCCCTGCCTCTGCCCAGCACCACCTGGGGACACAGCCAAAGCCACCTCAGCTCAGTCTTGGCTACGCAGCTCTGTGCCTTCATTAACTCTGTGCATGTGGAGGGCTGGTATCTCCCAGTGGCAACATGTAAAACCAAGGAACACCCATAGACTGAATCTGACCTCTAAGTGCCAAACACCAGCACAGCCAAGAGGAGCCCAGGGAGAACAGAGGCTGTCCTGGATTTATCACCATGATAACTGTAGATACTGTGTTTCTTCACCTTTTCCCCTCTCAGCTGCCTCTTTCCTCTCCAGGCACAAAGACATGATCTCTCCGCGGTGATTTTGCCCACTGATAAACACTAGTGACTGACAGTGTTTCACTGAGGAGCAAAGGACAGGACTGAGGGACCAGCTGCTTCCAGGGTGCTCCGGCATTTGTCCATCTGCTGTGTCAGGAAAGACACTTCAGTAGTCAGCAGGACACCAAATACAAACAGGGGTAATATTCAACACCCTGCTGGGGCTCTCCAGTTAGGGATGGGAGACACACATGGGTGCAGCTTAGAAGGAAGCCTAAAAAGAACATGAAAGGAATAAAATTGACTAAATATATAACCCAAACTGAAACAAGAGTTTTTAGCTTAAAAGAGGATACATGAAGCTAACTGGGGACTTGCTTTTGCCATCAATGTTATATAGCAGATGCTCAGACATTAACTTTGTTGGGAGCAGAATAAAACCCAAAGAGAATTAAATACTGATGGCCTAATGGCTCTTTAGGTCTTAAAGTCTGACCTCCACATGTAGCACATGTTCCAGAATTTCACCAAATCATTCCTACATTAAGCTCAATTTTTCTTCCAGAAAGGAATCCACTTTGTAAGAAAAGGGTGTTGGAGTGCCATAATTCAGGAGGGTAAGGCATGCATCAGCTGTGGCTTTCTTGGGACCAAGAGAAAAGGGGAATGACAGAGGCTCCCAGACCATGGGTTGTAGCCATGCCTCACCCAGCTGCTCACCCCCTGTATTTCAACTCTGGCCTCGTCTGATCCCCCGTATTGCAATAAGCAGAGATGTTGGTATTGAGAAATCAATGTCCCACCATGACCTGGCAGCATTGAGCAGTGAAATACAGCAGAAGCTGCCAAAAAACTTACAATATTCCCACCAAAAAATTTTCAAAAAAGACATTAGAAACAAAAAGCCTTTCTTTTAAAAGAAGAAAGAAAAAAGGCAGAATTTAAATCCTCTTGCCTCATAATTGAGTCCAGGGTTATGCCACAATTCAGGTAAATGATGTTTATATAACTGGCATTTGGCTGAATGCATAATTCCTATTTAATAGCTGAAGAGAGGCATTTTGGGTCTTCAAAGAAATCTGACAGGTAATTCCCACTGTAGTTCTGCAGGGTAGCTGAGAGGTAATTATCCTTCTCACTAGTAAATCAATTAGGAATGAATGTATGGAAAGCTTTTTCCCTCCTCCAAGTAACTGCTAATCCTCTAAGCACTAATGAGCAGCCAAGGCTAGCAACAGTCCGCAAACCCATCAAAAATCGACAGGAGCTGCGAGGCACGCAGGGTCCAATCAGTACCTGGGAGCTAATGCCTCAGAAGAAAATATCTTGCCTGGAAAGAGTCTGCATGATTCGCTGTGTGCGCACAGGCCCTGTGCACATGTGTTCCTTTTCGTGTCTCCCTCCCCATTTATCGCCTCAAAGACAGACCTGTTTTTGAGGCCCACAAGAGATCATTGCATGGTGTTCAACTAGCCAGCACTTGTGCTGTCAGAAGTGAAACACAAGGGATCTGGACTTTCTCTACTGGGGTGCAATTGATTCACCTACTGCTTTGTGATTCATGATTGGTGGTTGTCCTCAGGAGCTCAGCAAAAACATGATCCTTACTCTCTGCAGGCCACTGATACAATATTCACCCAGAGAGACCTGGAGAAGATTACAACCCAAGTGCATTTTTTGCAGTGCACAACCTCATGAATCTATAAGGGGTGGGTGGACAATAAACCTAATATTGCATTTGACAAATCCCAGATGCTCCAATCCAGTGACACCTTCTCCAGGCATTTTTCAAATGCTGCATGGATGTTTGGAATTGCTTTGACGGTCAACAAAACAGAGTCAGTTCTGAGTTCAGACAAGCCACCTGTTTAACCATGCACATTAACAGTGCCCATATATTTAGCAGAAGTAGAAAGGATGAAAACAAGTTGTTCCCACAGCAGGCAGCACTGAAGCTGGTTTTCTACATGTTTTCCTTACAGCTCATCTCTCCATTTCAAAAGATTTTTCAGAAGGGAGGAGAAGAAGGAAGACAGACAGATAGGTCCAGAAATCATTTCCTTAAGACATAACACCAAAAAAAAAAAATTTAAAAATCGTCATCTGAAATAAGAAAAGAGCAGGTAAAGATTGGTCTGCATGCCACTATATGATGAAGTGTAGGTGTTATTAATAAAAAAAAGGAGAGAAAAGACTGTTAATCTGTAAAGCTCGATAGCTTGAGAAATTGTTAGAAGATAATCATACATCTTAGTACTCCGATTTGTGAGGAAGACTTTACACCAGTGACGTAGAATTTGTAACTGAGCATATTGCCTCTGATTTTGGGTGGGCAGAGTTGCTTTAGAAACAGAATGAAGAAGAATTAACTCTTCAGTGCCCACCATACTGCATATGGGAGGGGTGTGAAGGCCAGGAGAGTTCTTTACGAAACATCTTCATTCCATTTTGCTCAAAAAAAAGAAGTCAAGGTAGTTTTCATGAGAATTCAGCTTCTGCATCAGAAAAAATATAAGCTGACCGCTGCCTACTGAATTCTTTCTCTCCTCTATAGATCCAAACACACATATATTGTTGCCGATAGTAATCAGAGCTATGACTGCCTTAAGGTTGCATACATTGAAATAAGCATCAATCCTGAAACCTCCGCAGACTGACCAGTGATGGAAAACACAATAGTAGTAATAAGAACAGTACAAGTAGCAAAATACTAGTTTGAAAACCTGTTGATGGAGACAGGAGAGGGGCAGTTTGGAAGTGATCAGACAGAATGGGCTGCACCCCATCCAAACACAACGCCACTGCCAGAAATTAGCTACGTGCTTCAGCCCTCCCACATTGATTTCTGTGGGTAGCTGAAAGCCTGTTTGTCCCACTACCTCCCTTGAATCAACACAGGCAATAATTTTAAACCAAAAAGGCACTGAGTAGTAACTCCCGGGCTGCACTCTGTGAGCCAGCTGCAGCCCTAATTGCATCACGTGGGAAGCATGAGCAGGGGGTTTGAAAGCTATGACCTCATCTTCTCTCCTACACATTCAAATCAAATGTTAGGTCTCCCACCCACTCTCCCAGGCATATTCTGCTTTCAGCCCCCTTACATGATGTAACCAATGAAAATGTCATTTACATCTTTACCTCCAACTTCTAGCTAGGGAAAGCATAAAGGGGAAAAGAGTCAAATGCAGAAATAAATGCCTTTTACTCAGTATTTCTAATAACAAGGAGACAGAAAAGGCAGGGAGAGGCACATTAGCCAAAGCCAGTGTAAGCAAGAGTCCCAGAAACATTTGTGTGAGTTCAGCTTCTTTAAAGGTGTAACAGTCAGAAGCAAATAAAAACAACCCTTTTATTTCTCTCCCTTTTATTTATTAACACATTCAGTAGGAGATTAAGGACTCCATCCCTATCACAAAAACAGGCATAATTCTACTGGATTCCATGGAATTGCACTAGTGCAACTTAGTCGGCAAATTCAAGCTCTTGTGAATTACCAACGGATTTCACTTTAGGATCACAATTCCTCTCAAAATGAACAGAATGCTGTAATTTTGTTTCTATAGCTACCAACTTGATGGCTCTCCCTTACCTTTCTCTTGTTAGTGGGACTGACATAAAGGTAGCTCAGCACAGTCTTCAGGCCTACTTTGTCATTTAGCTTTTCATAGGTAGTGCCATAGTCTGTCGACCTGGAGAAAAGAGGAGACAAAAAGAGTTTATGTGGTTATTAGAGCTCAGGGGAAGGAAATGACCGTGTGAACAGATGCTCAGTTACAGCTTCAGCATTTTTACGCTTAAAACTCAAGCTTTTGTATTTCATTCAGGGTGGCCAGCAAAAAGGACAAAGAAATTTGAGTCCTTTGGGGCAGGGTTGTCTCTGCATCAATTGATCCTGTGTACCTGGGGAGCTGTGGTGCACCTGTGAAGATGGACTTGAGGGGAGGCTCTGCCAGTGTGGGATGACACCTACATGAGAGGACTCTGATCTCAGCAGCACCCTTAGCACAAATTCTCTTTTCAGACAAATCCCACAGAAGAATCCAAATTAAACCCATCAACAACAGTTTTATTTAAGTAGGCTGATTTTTGACTTGGAGATGGGGATCCAAATGTGGCTCAGAATTGTAACAGCTGAACTCACGTCTAGATAAAAATGTACCTAAACTGGCATCTTGAGTCCTCAGTCACCCCCATCCTACTTTGTGCCAGGCATTTAATTTTTCTGAGTTACAGAGACAGATTCAGGCCCCTACACTAGCAAATCCCACCCGGAGGAGCAGATGATCTGGGGGTGGCATTACCCATTCGTGACTGGGGAAAAGGGCTGCTTCGTCACAGAGGGTTTTCTGTAGCTTCCTCCTCCTCATTTGTGGGCATGTTTGAAGCCTCACTTTGCCCTGCTTTTTTCTCTGCTGTTTTCATACTCCGCTTTGCCTAACAAACAAGATGTTTCATACTAGAACAAATCAACAGCTACCCAGTACAGGATCCTACTGTGGTCAGCACCAGCTTGCTTTAGGAGGTGAAAAGCCCACCCACCCCATCCAAACACTGGGGAGACCCTAGCTCCTGACTCTACACAGCTTCTGTCTTATGGACAGAGCAAACACAATCCTTATCAGGTGGACAAGGAAAGACCCTCACAAAAAGCCCACCTGGCCATAAGTATGATTTTATTAAGGTGAGAATTCATGGCCCCCGCCCTCCTCTCTAATTATGCTTTTTACTAAACAGATGATTAGAGAACAAGTAGCAAATTCAGTGCCTTTCCCAGTAACTAGCTCCAGGAATTTTCTGATTTTCTAAGCTCAGCAAGCCTCCAGCATCTGCAGCTTTGAGGTTCTGCCTGAGACCAATCCTCTGCTCCTTGTTTGTCTGGCAGAGAAATAGCCCAAGTCACCCTTCTGGCATCACAGTGAGCAGTGCCGCTGTGCCCAGCGGCTCCAGGCTCCCACTCAAGGGGCTGCAGAAACTGAGCAATACCCGAATCTGCACCCAGCTACACTGGTTTTCCTCTGCTAGTGGAGGCCAAAAAGGCCATGCCGCAAAACCAGACAGCTGTTTTCAGGCTTCCAAGTAGTAGGACCCATGAAGTCAAAAGCTTGTTTTATCACTGATGTGGCTCCAACACATTTGCTTCTGTGCAAATCTTTCAAGCACAATTCCTAAATGTTTTGCAAACTGGTTCTTTCCTTAAATGGGTTGAACCAACCTTTCTCCTTTGAACACTCAGCAGTCAGGGGTGCTTCAAGTCTTAAACAACTTCCTTGTGTTCTGGTTTATCTCTTTAACATTAAAATAGAGCTAATACTAGCTCTATTTACACTTAAAACTCTTTTGTACTAATAGATAGTATTGATACTCGCTGGGCTTTACAGAGACGTCCAAAGGATATTACAGTAGTGTACTGTATTTCCATAGCACTTTCCCATCCAAAGAATCTGAAGGTCTTGTCTCGCTAGATATCAATACCACACACAAAACCTAGCAGCTTTCCCCCTCCAGCCACGCTGGAAACTGAAGCAGCTAGATTAATAAAACTGAATAATCCAGGCCAATTAATTCCACTACACAAGGCCTCCTATACATGCAAATTCATCAGGTCAGGAATCCTCAAGTAACACTAAGCTCTAAGCCGAGAGTAACACACAGAGGGCAAGCACTGAGGCATTCCTTGATCTCACACTTCCAACAGCACTGAAGCTCTGAACAAGTCACATTTGAGACTACACATGTACCAGCCACCAGCCAGGGAGAGAGATCACTGGTTTCGATCAGCATTCAAAGAGAATACAAATAACAGTTTAATAATCTGACAAAGCTACTTTGGTTTTGTTCTCTGAGTCATTTTCAGATCTCCCAAAATGCCTTGCACTTCTAAAGATGCAGGCTGGATGCCCTAATGACTCTCTCTCATTAAACCATTATCACTCATTGCATTTGCCCTTTCAAAAAATAGCTAGAAAGGAAGCAGGATCATTATTTCGTTAGCTTCTCTAAGGCTTTCTTTCTCATCATGACAGTAACCACTGGCTTCACAGAAACGTCTCAAAGGATATCACAATAATATACTGTATTTCCATAGCACTTTCCCATCCAAAGAATCCGAAGCTTTTGTCTCATGTTAATCCATTCAAACTAACAAAGTCCCAAGGGCCATACTGGGAAATATTATCTCTATTCTAGAGATGAAGAAACTGAAAGTTTGCATAGGTGGTGGTTCATTTTTTTCAAAAGCAGGAATCTACAATTAGCCACTTCAGCTTCTATAATCATCTAGTGTATGGCTTGATATTCAAACCTGCTAAACTCCTACCACCAAATTGCCTAATTTGAAAACAAGTATTTACAAAAGAAAAAAAAAAAATGTTGGCTGCCTAATTTTAGCAACCCAAGCCTGAACATTTGAAGAGACGTGACCCACAGGTGGAACAGAACAGTTCTGGCTCAGCTTTTAATCTTAACTTGAACCCTTCTCCTTTACTAATTACTTATCTTTGCAGTAGAAGACTTCTAACTGCGAATTAACTAGCCCACATGTCCTTACAGTTGCTTGACACTACAAGCAGACTGGATACCATGTTTTCTCCCATTCATCTGGTCAGAATAGGATCCACTTCAAAGCACATTATTAAAGGAGCGGAGGGGAAGAAAGGTTCTAGTCATATCAAAATGACAAAAGACTCAGTGATACAAAATACCCTTTCCATGAGTCACACCGCAAATGCCTGCTTTAACTTTGGTTGGGCCTTTTAGGGCCCACCGATCCTGCCTAGCTGGTTCTTCTCTGGGTTGCTCCACTGAAGCCATCACTGGAGTCTCATCGTTTCAGAAGGCTGTTACTGCCTTCAGCCTCAAGTTGGTATTTGCAGATTGCTTCTAACCACACACACAAGTGTGTACATAAAAGTGTTATTAACAGTGCTTTCACAAAACTAATTGTTGCACCTCGTTACACCGCTGGTAGCACAGAAACTGTTACAATGTGGAATGGAACTCTGGCTATGTATACAAAGCCTGTAAAAGCTCAGTCCATGTATTTTGTCCCACATGTCCTTATACATTGATCTTACAGCATTTCATTGTCCCCTCTATCCTGTTTTCCATCCTGCTGGCAATACCCCAAGAAAGGCTGCACAGTGAAAAGCAATAAAACTCAAGGGGTAGTCCAGTCTTGAATGGAACTTTGTCTACTCCAATTCAGCTTTTTGGGTTTTATACCTAGCAGTTCCTACCAGCCATGAAGAAGAATCTCTTTGCTAGTCTCGGTTAACATGAAGAAAGACTTGATTCAGTGCAACACAAGTGTCATATTCATATAACCAAATAAACATGGGCTTTCCCTGAACAGGCTGTGGCACTAAATTCTACATATTCCCTTTGGAAAAGCAAGGTTTATAATGTAATTATTTTATTGGGAGACTGTAAATTCTCCCATAATCATATTCTATTATAAACAGTTGGGAAAGAAAATCACTTGCTTGATTCCACTGCCCTCCCCTGATGGGCTGCAATGTGTTCTAACCATTGCAGCAAGTGCTGTCCCACGGTCTGGCAGAGCGGGGCTCAAGGGGCACACCCGGGCAGAGAAGCTTCTCTCTACCAAACCTGGTCATAACTCAGTACACTGAGAGCTAACAAAATCCATCTTGTTCCTGTAGGTCTGAGCCTGAGCTTCCCTGTGAATCCGACAAACAGGCCTGAGCCAGCAGACTTTAATATTGTGATAAGACTTGCTCATCCCAGGGATATGAAGTAGAGGTGTGGAGAGGCAGAGAGAATGCCATCTGAATAGCTTTTAGAGAAGCCCTCCTCTCAGATGGTTTCCATCTCAGGGCTTTGTCAGGCAGAGAATGGAGGTTTTGTTTGTTTGCAGTCCCAGCTACTCAGCTATGGAGATAGGTTATAAAATATGTATCAGTCTCTCAGGAGCAAAAGAGCTGCAAATGCCAGCACTGGATGGCCGGGAGGGACAAGTCAACCTCCTGGAGTGTACATGCGCCACCGACTCTTCTGTCAGGGGGTTTCTCCTCCGCGCCTGTGACTCTCCTTGACTGTGTGTGGAGAAGGAGCAAGTATGGATTTGATTTTAGATTCTCAGCCTTTTTCCTAAGATACTAAAGCTTATGCATTCACCTCCAGACCAGAGTCCCGATACACACACACCCGTAGCCCCACGTTGAGAACCGTGGGGGGCACAGCTCCGCTTAAATGAGCAGGAGAATATCCCGATTCTCTGTGCGCTTCAGAGAGCAACAGGAACACGCATAGCCCAGATTAACATTTGCTTCTCTTCTCATGTGCCTGCAAACTAACCACCTGCAGTGTGCCTGTCTCTCCATACCCCCCCAAACAACTTCTTGTTTTTACCCATTGGCCAATTTTCTCCCAGTTTGACAAAGAAACAAAAACCCAAGAGGAACAAAGTTTCTACAAGTTTCATGAAAACCAGCAGCCAGGAAAAGGAGAGCAAACTTCTTAGCGCTCAGAGAAAAGCTGCAGCATGAAACCAAATCCCATGAGACATGAGAGCAGGCACATCTCTCTGAACATCCAGCTGCAGGAAAACATTCAAACACAGCTCACATATTAATACACTACAAAGAACCCAACTGCACAACACAAGAAGTCAGGCTGCCAAACTTCCATTGCTTGTGAAACAATTTGTTTCTGTCTCTTTCTTCCCCTT